TACCTTATTTTCTTATCAAATTTTAAATGTATATTTATCAACATATTTTTTATACCCTTGATATTTTTATATAAAACTTATAGATATGAATTTTCACCAAATTACTATATTTTTAGAGATACTAGTTATTGTATAACAATATTATATCATATGTCAGAAAATTATTGGGTTCAACACATGACATCAGTTATATAGGCTTACACATTATCGCAGAAAAAAAAGTTATATAGGCTTACCAATACTCATACCATCCAGGCCCATCCCCCATCTCAGTGACGATCTTGAAGTAGGCTCAACCCAAATACTAGGCCATAATTGTGAATCCATTGTCATGGGTGCTGCGAGACCTATGTCTCGCTTATTGTGAGATCTAGCTCCGTCTCGCCTTTGGCACTCGCTGTTGTGTCCTTTTAATGGGCCAACCCAGTGAAGTAATTCTGGAAAGGTTCTGTGCACCGGTTCTGAGAAGGTTTCATGCGGTTCCTTTTCTTTTTCTATGTTTTTCTTTATGGTTTTCCTTTTACTTTTTTCCTAAACTTTTTTATTTTTTGTCCTTTCTATTTGTTTCAAATACATGTCAACTTTTTAATACATGTTGTATTTTTATACACGTTGAACATTTTTTGATACACATTGAACATTTTTCTTACATTATTTAAAGTTTTAAAAAATGTATGAAAATGTTTTTGAATGATACTAAATATTTTTATAAAATTACACAAATATTTCTTTCACGTCGTATAAACATTTATTTTAAATTTGTATATTTTTTAAATGACAGGAACATTTTTTAGTGTTACAGAATATTTGTACAAACTACATGAACATTTTCTGTTTTGCATGACAGTGCTGGAAAATTCTTAGCAGCAAGTAACAATGTTGTTGGTGTTTGCATAGATGTTTTCATGGCAGAAGCGCTGGCTCTTTGGTTTGGTTTAAACTTGGCAACATCTTTGGGCTGCATTAAGTTAATCATCAACTCCAACAACATTGATGTAATCTCAGCAATGCAAGACAGAGACAATATGTTAGGATCATTGGCCGCTATTCTAGATGATTGCTTCCATATGGCTAGGGATTTCACTCATGTTCGGTATGAACACTGTCACAGAGAAGCAAATGATGTTGTTGATGAACTAGCTAGACTTTGTAAATTTTCTCCCCCAAATCTCGGTTTGATGAGGCACCGGATGCCATCACTCCCTTGCTTGTAAGTGACGCTGTTTTGATTACTAGCTAACAAAAGGGGGTGTTGGGAGGTAAAAAAACTACATGGACTTTTTTTTTAATGTCAAGAACAAAAAATTTAAATGCGTGAACTCTTTTTAGAAAAAAAATTCTACATTGCGTGACACTTTTTTAATGTGTGATGACGCTTTTAAAAAATGAAGTAAATATATTTTGAAGAGTATGTATTTAGAATATTTCGAAATATAAAAAAAAGCAAAAAAAAATAAACAAATGAACAATAAAAAACGAACAAAATGAAAGAAAAACACACGTCTCCGAGATACTTGGCTGGCCCACTGGCGAGGCTGCTTGAGGAGAGCGATACTACCGCCAGACATAGACGCTCTCCCCTTCGTGGCATGGGAGCCCTTATTCTACGCTCCGTGCGATGAATTGTCTCTATAACGCTATATGGGCCAGCACTTGCTCCGCCCAAAAATGTTTAATGCAGTATATTTATTTACTTTTACTTGTTGATCTCTGTTTGTGTATTTCAAAGAAGTTTTGACCTCCAACGTGCAATATTTATTAATTGTGGTAAATGTAGCCTTCTCTGTGACAAGAGAGTGACATAAAAGGTAAAAGACAAGTTCGATAGGACGGCGGAACAACAATGCAAGGGAGAACTCACTTGGGAGCTGCAACGCGCTAGTCATCCTCTTGCGACACTCCGAGATGGAGTTTAAGGCAACAAAGGGCTTGCAAGTCGGTCTGAGAATCATTCCGGAGAGCTGCATCACCTAATGAATGTGGCCTTGTGTTGAATAATCAACAAGGCCTTCAACCAGTCAACTGATCAAGCATCAGTTTAGATTATTCTTCTAATTCAACTTTGAGATTGTCAAATTACAGGATGGTCAAACGGACTAATTCACCCCTACTTTATAAACACATATACAAAGTGCTTCTGGGGCTTAGAATCCAAACTACATGATGTATGAATCCAGAAATCCAAGTAAGGCCATTTTGTGACTCAGTCGCTTAAGCATCATAAATGCTACTATTGATACTAAGATTAGTCTTGTCATGGCCTCAATCATCTAGTGTCTGCTAGATTATTAAGCAAATTTTTGGTCAAGCTTAATTCAGCTTAGCAACATGATGAGTGTGGTGACAGAGCATATCACATACGACAGACAAGGCACATTTGGCACATGCCAACAGGGAGATGGTTAGAACATGCAAGTTCGCCTGGTGCAGCGGCGTTGCTGACCATGGTGGTGGAGATCACGTAGCTGTGTGCCGTAGATGAAGTAATCGAAGCAGATAGTTGGTCGTCGACTCGTCGTCGAAGCGAGCAGTCAATAGAACCGAGGGATTGGGTTATTGGCTTAGCGAAGAGGCCTGCATTCTAAGTCTCGTTTTCCACAGGTTCCAGTCGACAAAGTTATTTTTTTTTTGAAACGGAGTCAACAAAGTTATTGTTTTTGGGGTCTTTTGACTGCCCCAGTCAACAGAGTTCATTTGGGCATTTCTCTCCAAGTTAGAATAATGGCATATTTTTGGAGCCTTATATATCGGTGCTGAAGCATTGAGGCATGGCAGCTTCTCCCTTTTGGTGCCATAGGTTTACGGTTTGAACAACGCAGACGAATCCGTAAAGATGCCACCCAACTGTATCCGCTTGCTCGCTCGGCTTCTTGCCATCCTCACGTTACTGCTGTTAATAGTCGGTGGCCATGCAGCAGGTCGTGTAGATCCTTCAAGTCCACCAAATTGCGATGCTCAGCGTAAGTGCCCATGCATGTTTCACTTTTCTTTCAACTTCTCATATGATTCAGAAGTCAGAACAGAACATGTGCATCATAGTAGGTGTTGACTTCGTGCAATTTCCGAATATCGGCAGTTTTCAGTCTATCATGAGCTTAGTTTTCAGTCTAGGATACGGAGTGAAAAGGATACAGTTAGTTCAGAATAAAAAAAATGTACAATTTCAAAGGAATACTCTATTTTCCAAATGGCCTGATGATATGTTGTACTTTGAACATCATCGCAGAAAACCCAACCGGCTGCTCGAGGCTCCCCTCCCCAAACTGTCCTGGCTGTGGTCGACGGTAATAAGCGCCTTCTATTTTCCTAGAGAAGGGGACCTGCGAAGATTGTCCAGACCTGAGACCTTCCAAGTGTGGATAGCAGCAGGGCTGACTTCCAAGCATATGTGGGCGACCATTATCTCTTAGGGTGTTTTTTACTACTACGTAGAAACGACATGTTTATCTATTTCCATGTGTTAAGAGAGATACGATCGAAGGCCACAGTCATTTCGTTACTTTCAGAATGTTGAAGGAAAGCAAGAATAGCTGAATGAGACACAATTCATCAACGAACTTGCATTGCGAACACTGCTTTTTTCAGCGTAACAGACCAACACTGAGAACACGCGAGCAGTTAATACTCTCAACCAACTGCAATATGACCCTCCAATTTTTGTTTTTAAAGAAAAACTACAGCACTATCCTCCATGATCTCGAAGGTGGCTGTGTAATTGTGGGATGCAGCAGTAGAAATGGACACTTCAGCAATACTGGGACTGGAAAGATGGTGCGCCTAGTACTCCGCTCTTGTCATAATGCCGTGCCAAAATACTGGATGCCAATTAGAGATGGTACTAAGTACTAACCTTGCCAAAATACTCAGAATCGAGCTGACACAGGAGCGAGCGGCAGGCAATTCACGAACCAATTCAACTCTTTCTTTTTTTTGGAACACTGAACCAATTCAACTCTGGTGTGTAGTACTGCCGGTCCCTTGAAAAATAAATAAAAAAGCTCTGGTACTGCCCGGACTTCTGGCACCCTAATTCCGGATGGAATTTGGCATTCCGGCCAGGCGGCCACTCTAGGGTCTAGGCTCCGGGTACCGAATGCGACCCTGATCCATCGGACTGAGGTCGGCTGTTGCCCTTCCAGGTTCCATCCGCGGTTGGGTGGAGGAGTCATTGCAGGTGTCTCATCATCTGGCTGGGATCTATGGCTCCTTCATCCCTCTGCCCCCGCAACAGCAAGGATTGGGAAGAAGCGAGGTTCTAGGATTGGGGGTGATTCCAGGAGATTCCTAGGTGAGGCAGGCTCCTCCACCCAGCGTCCCAGCCCGCGGAAGCTCGCCGAATGGAAGAGGCGGCGGCGGCGAACTGCGTGATGGGGTGCATACACACCGACCTCCTGCAGGACACCGCTGCGTTGCTCTGGACGCGCATCCTCCTCCGCCCCACTGCCGACCCGGCCGGCGCACGACGCAACGCCGAGGCATTCAGTGGCAGCAGGAATCCATCCACTGCATCCCCGGCAAACCTCCCTGTGCTCCATTGCGCAGGCGTCGTCCGGGTGTCCGTCAAGGGCGAGGTTTGTTGCTCTCTGATAAAATTGTACTACTAGGAAAATGTGATATCCTTGCACATCGGTTTCAACTTTCAAGTTTTGACAATTCAATGTACCACTGTACAATTTGTCTGGTTAAGGGTGTGATTAGTCCATAGTTGGGCTTAAGTACTTGCAGTTTACTACGTACTAGAAATTCAGAAAGAAAAATATAAGTAAAAACCCAAGTCGAAAGAAAATTTCCTATGCTGAACCTTTTATTTGATTTTATTTGAGATAGAAGTAGGTTGAACCACAGTTTACATACGCGACCAACATAGATTTACTTGTAAAATGGAGGACGATCCACAACATAACACGATTTCTGTCGAGAAAAATATAGCATTATGTAAAGTAAACTATCCTTAGGTCATCCTGCAGCAGCAACATAATAGAAAATGATTCTACTTTTGCTCAACCCTGCAGTGCTGAAAATGCTTCTTTGATTGCGGTGACCTCAATGTAAACGTCCTGCATCGAGGGGCGATATTTGGGTGTCTCCGCAGTGCACATGAGGCCAATCTTAACGAGCTCGATGATACAGCTCATTCCAGCCATTTGCTGATGATTTTCTTGGTTTGGACTACTTGCTGCTTCTTCATCTTGGTCCCCATAATAAGGAATGATTCTCGGATCTAGAATCTCACCAATCTTTTTAGGAAATGATTTTTCCACAAAATTGTAAAGGCTCAGGCCATCTTTAAACATCTCATCAGTTGGACGCTTCCCTGTGAGCATTTCTAAGACGATGATTCCAAAGCTGTAAACATCACCCTCAGTGGAGATTTTGCTCCCAAAGCCATATTCTGCAATATATATAGTATTGAAATCATTAATTAACACAAAAGAACTCGAATACAAGAATCAAAAGATTTCTAGGGAAACTAAAGTCAATTTTTCATAGGGCCTCTAAGATATTTGCCCAATATATATATCCTATATAAAGGAATTGTTACCTGGTGCAATGTATCCAACTGATCCTCTTGGTCCAACTAAGCTTGTAGAACCATCAATCCTTGAAGTATAACTGTGTATGAACTTAGTCAACCCGAAGTCACCAACACATGCGCCCATGACATCATCCAGAAGGACATTGCTTGGCTTCAGATCACAGTGTGTCATAGGAGGCATGCATTGGTTATGCAGGTAATCCAAAGCAGCTGCTATGTCCACTGCTATTGCTATTCTTGAACTCAAGGACAAGGGCCTTTTCAGATGTTGCTCGTGGAGTGTTGGATGGAGCCAACTTTCAAGGTTGCCATTAACCATATATTCAAGGAGAAGAGCTTTGAACTCATGTCCTGTCAGATCACTCGTCGAGCATACAGTGATCACCCTTACAAGATTACGATGACGAGTGTTTTTGAGTGCCTGACATTCAGCAACGAAGCTTTTCGTCGCCCCAGGCTGATCAAGTTTGAAAACTTTGATAGCAACTGCATCTTCTTCAGACTCAATTCTACCTTTGTATACGGACCCATACTTTCCTGAACCAACCAAGTTGGCTAATGAGAAACCATTTGTTGCTTTCACTAAGTCAGCATATGTGAACTTCTTTAACTCCTCAAAGGATGGATAATCTTCTTGTTTGACTTTCTTTCTCTTCTTCAAGAAAATGACTCCAAAACATGATAACATCACTAAGGCAAGAACAGAAAGTCCTACTATATTCGCAATGTTGGATCTATGCCTTTGTTGAGAGGCAGCTGTGTGGCAAAGTGGCAAACTCAATAGTGGCGAGACAGCACACAACTCTTTGTTCCCTTGGACGAACACCTTGCTTGCATTTTGGAAGATCCCACCAGTTGGCATGGGCCCCTCCAGGTTGTTGAATGACAAATTGAGAAGTGACATGGAGCTGAAAGCCTCAAAGAAGTCTGGAACTTGACCAGACAAGTTGTTTCGAGAAAGGTCCATGTCACTGATGCCTTTCAATGCAGCGAAAGATTAAGGGATTCGCCCATCAAGTAGATTCCCTTCCAGGTGGAGGGACTCTAAATGGAGGCACTCGCCTAGAGTTGAGGGAATTTCTCCAATCAACAGGTTGTTGGAAATATCGAGGGGGGAAAGGTTGATTAATTTGCCAATCTCCACTGGTATATGCCCAGAGAGTTTGTTGCGAGAGAGATCAAGACCTTCAGAAAGTGTGGAAACAGTAAATAGTTCTTTTGGTATTGTTCCATCAAATGAGTTGCAAGAGAGGTTTAGGGTGTGTAACTTATTGCACTCTGCTAAAGCTACTGGGATGGGTCCACTCAAATTATTTTGATGCAAATAGAGCTCACTTAGTTGGCCGAGGTTATGAATTGAAAGTGGGATTTGGCCAGATAGCTTGTTTCCTGATAAGCTTAGAACGAACAAGTTTGAAAGGTTTCCAAGTGAGTCAGGAAGGGTTCCAGTAAGCAGATTGTGCTCCATGTAAAGAAGTTTGAGGCTACTAAGGTTCCCTATCTCATGTGGTATGGTGCCAGATATTTTATTCGCTGTCAACAATAGAGATTCTAAGCTTTTTGGAAGATTGCCTATGGACTTTGGCAGTTCACCTTGTAGGTTGTTCGCGTCTAAGCGTAAAATAGCCAGCTTTGTACAACTGGCGAGCGAGTGGAGGAAAGTCCAGTCTCCAGCTTCGAGTTGGTTCTTGCCTAGATCTAGTTCAGTTAAGTCGGGCAAAGACCCAAAATAAGGAACAATACCATGGAATGCATTGTCACGGAGATTAATTCTCTGAAGATTTGTGGTCTCAGCCATTGAAGTGGGAATACGACCTCCGAATCTGTTTCCCTGAACAATGAATGCCTGGATGTTTGGAAGGGTGTGGCCAATATTTTCTGGAATTTCTCCTGTTAAGATGTTATTGCCCATGCCAAGGTATTTGAGTGTCGATATATCATAGAGAGAGCCTGGAACGACTCCTGATAAGTTGTTGTTAGTCAGATCTAATTTTTCCAAGCATGGGATTTTACTTAAACTCCATGGAATGTTGCCTTGCAAGTGATTCCCTGCAAGCAAAAGCTCAAGAAGGGAAGAAGAGTTCCCAACAGAGGAAGGTATTTTTCCTGTGATATTATTGAATGATAGGGACAGAGTTTGCAATGGCGAGGTGGGTGAGAAAGGTGGAATTGATCCAAAGAAATTATTTCCGTTTAAAATTATGATTTCAAGAGATGAGCTGTTGAAGAGAGAAGGAGGTACCTCTCCATCGAGGTCATTGCTTCCCAATTCCAGCCATCCAAGTGATGAACTATTTGCTAAGAGAGGCGGGATGCCCCCAGTTAGGCTGTTGTTTGCCAGCACAACAAAGTAGAGTGATGGGCTGCTTCCAAGTGAGTAAGGAATACTGCCCGTCAACTTGTTGCCAGGAACGTACAGAGCATAAAGCTTAGGAAGCATGCCGAACCCATCTGGAATGCTTCCATTGAGCATGTTGTTATCGAGTAAGATGTCTGTGAGATTTAAACAGTTGGTCAAACCTAGAGGTATCTCCCCCTGGAGGGAGTTACTTCCGAGATCAATAGTCTGAAGGCTAGAACAGGTAGAAAGAGAGTTCGGTATTACGCCAGCAAGATTGTTATTTGGAAGGGAGAGCTGAGCAAGGTGACGCAGATGACCTACCTCAGGCGGGATCCCACCATTCAGCAGGTTATCCTGGAGGTTGATTCTTGTGAGGAAAGTGAGATTACCAATGCAGGGTGGTATCTGGCCATTCAGGCCTAGCGATTCAAGGTCAAGTGCTGTGACACGAGATGCGTGCTTCTTGCCACAGGTGACACCAGGCCAACTGCAATACTGGAGGGTATTGTTCCACGAGGCGAGGACTTCGGTATTGTTAGAAAGGTGGTTCTTGAGACAAAGGAGTGCCTGGAAGTCCTTACCAGATTCATCACCCAGCAGGGTGCCATCTAATGAAGAAGAAGGGGCAAAAGAGGTCAAGAAAGTGAGGAGGACGGTGGCTGTGAAGAGTGATGAACTGAGAGTCCCTACAGGTACAGGAGCCATCTGTGTGCTACCGCCGTTGTGGATGTTGCTACCGAGTTTTGCTCTCCTACAGATTTCAGCAGTAGCAATGAGCATGTGCATATTTATAAGGGGGCTAGCTTGGAAACCTGCCTTCTCTGCACCTCTCATCCAAACATCTCATATGGAAGATTGAAGATAAAAAAAACAATCTCAACTACGTTCCACGCCAGCCCTTGGAACGTGGACTGGTCTTCTCGTGCACAGCGATTTAACCGTCTCAACTACGTTCTGCCATCTTTTGAAGGAAAGAAAACACAAATCTATTGCCACTGAGGAGTCACTGCTGCCGTTCAATCACGTGTTTTTTTCTCTTTCCGTGTTCCTCTTCACTTGCTATTATCCTGCCACCGCTTTGGTATTCTTTTTTGGATAGGTCTTAGATTTATAATACCTTCTTCCAATGTTAATGAAAAGCATGCTGTCTGCCTTTTTGCCCACAGAATTTTTTTGACACAATGAATAGCCAGAATAGGTCTATTAGATTCGTCGGTTAAAAATATGTGTTTCATATCTCGTTTATCTACCTGATACTATTAACCCTGCACGTTGACTAATCTAATTGGAACGTGAAGAAAAAAACAGTTACCTTGAATTTACAAGTACAACTTAATTGTGCATGTTTTCTAAAAACTAAAAGAAAGCACTGTTATATACTTTTTGTTTCAACGGCAATAATGGTTGTGTTATTATTTTCACTACATCCTTGTGTTTTTCCTGTGGCTCACCGAAACAATATCTGTTACATTCTCGTATTTTGAATTTCCGTAGGATTTTCCAACACGTTATGATATCTAAATTCTACGCTTTTCAATTCCTGAGATGGAATCTGAGTCTTTTTTCCTTTTCTTTTCACAGCTAGAAATCCGTTTCTTGTTTTTGCTGTCTGCGACTGGCTGATGGCGACATAAAGTAGTACCGGACATATGGTGGTTATTTTTTCCGGATTTTCGCCTGCAGCAGTTAACGTAGCGGAGAGACTAATTCAACTTTGGAGGGACTCAAAATTTTGCAAGCAGTCCCGGTCTAGGTTTGGCAGTATAGAAGCCTCGCCATGGCCTCCTCCCAACTCCCATCACTACAACTTCAGCTTCTCCCCCTGATTTTTAATGCACCAAGCGTGCAAGACTCGAGGCTCTGGAAAAAAGATGTCCCGAAAGGCGAGCACTTGCCGTATACCAACTCAGCTGCTCACGATCCAACTCATTCTGCTAGTTTTCTTGATTGGTGGCAGCCTCCCCAGCACAGCAAGAGCTTATCTTCTTGGTGTGAGGAGCGTATACTACCGCCCGAATCCCCTTGATAAATCGGAAACTGTGAGTATAGTAGTATACTGAAGTCATTACTAACAGCAATCAAATTGTGAGTAGGAGCATGTGAAGGGTATTGCTATCCCGTTCTGACCTCTTGTTGAATGCTTATCAACTAGTATTTCCTTTTACCATTTCTGCAGTAAATCCTCATGGCGAACCAGAAACCGCTGGAGCAAATCCTCGTGGTTCCCGAAGGGTCCCTTGGGACAGAAGAAATCACAAGCACAGAGGCTGAGAAGCGTGGACGCAGTGAGACAAAGGGATTAGTTGATGGGCGTGCTACTTGTACTTGTGAGCTATGCAGCTTGTTAAACAAAGTTTATATGCAACTAGTCATTTCTGTTGGGCAGTTGGGCAGTTGGGCAGGCAAAAAAACATCATCTACACTTTGTTTGGTTGCTTGCATATAGGCTGCCTGCATTAGGGGAGTATTTTCTGCCTGCTGTTTGGTTGCGTGCATTGGCTTGGCAGATGGAAGTGCCCGGTATTTGGTTGCATACATGCAACGTGAGTAGGAGTTAATACCTACACATGACACACTTAGTTAGAGTAGAGTCCTAGGCAGTGTGCTCGTGATGGCGATATCAGTGTAGGCCAAGAACGAGGTGACCGAAAGGAACTACGCTGGCGGACCCGGTAAACACAAGCAACTAGTTCGCAGCGACATCGTCGGACTCGGTGTCGTGGCCACCGTCCACCACCGCAGGCTCGTTCATGCGGAACGCTGGTCTCTTTGGGTGCCCGTGCCGTGCCACGCTCGCGTCAGCTGCTCACTGGTCAGTGCTCGCCCCCGCCTATTGCGTCGTAGCTAGCTCATGAGCCCACGCCATCTTTGCTCTTGCGCGCTTGTACCTTTTCTAAGCGATTGCACGCAGAAGGCCAAAATTCCAGAAAATGAAAAAAGAGAAGCAGCCCACAGAGGAAGCAATATGCGCATTTATAACCCCTAAAAACACGTATGCACAGTTGAGATCACCTCTATTCACCCCTCAAAAAAGATCTCATCTAATCCAACCTGCTCCTGCGTTCGAGGCTGCCGCCGGCCACCGATCGCCTGCTTGATCGTCTAATCTCTTCGTCGAGAAGGGTAGGGGATATGCAAGCGCCTCGTGTTGATCTCCGATGCATTCTGGCCGGCCAGCCGCACGAATGAACTCGACCAAACTATAAAAACGGTTAGTCTATTTTTAGCATCACATTCATTTGCGTCTTTCAAATCGTACAATTGTAGTCGTAGGAAATTTCGATCTTTGATATTGTCTCATAAATCAAATTTTGAATTAATAGCGATATAATTTTTGACTATCTATAGGGCCTGTTTGGATCAGAGCCCTGAAGTGCCCGACCAAACATTTGGCATTGATGAGCGTGATAGCCACTGTTTGGTTTGTGATCCAATTATATGGGTCTCCCAGCCCCGTTACCTCATCCCGTTTACATAACCAAAAAATTTTGAGGCGTTGATGGTCTTTCCCTCCACCAAAATTTTGAGTGATGTTGGTTAGTTGGGTGAATACAACACATATGAAATCGAACCAAGATTTTCCAATATGTAGTACATTACTAGCCCAACCTCGCGCGGCGGCACGCCGCGCCCGTCTATAACTTTGTGCTACATACAATTGCTGAGATAAAGAGTGTAAGCTATTATAATGATATAAAATGATAGGTGGCAAAAAAAACTACGACATAGTGCACCACTCAAATGCATGCATGGTGTATACGGGTCAACAAAAGTTGATCGTATGGGCTGTATCACAATGTTGAATATTGAATAAACAGAAACTTGACATTGAATCTATAAATTTTTCTTTTCAACATAAAACTTTTCGATCTGATAAAAATGAAATTAGTACAATAATGAGTTATATGTATTGTAGACACCAGACGAAGCAATGGTTTATCCAAACTTCAAAAATAAAAATCTATTTTTTAATCTGTTTGTGAGAAAGCGTGAAGAGAGCCAAGAGACTTTAATTTTGGATTTCAACAATAAGAAATAAGAAAGAATTTTACGAATTGTACAGACGAATTCGAATTAGCCAATAAATCGGCTATCGTCTTTTCAATATGAATTATTGCAATATCAATGAATTACAAATACAAAAATTCATTTAAGTGAAAAAGAATACTATGCAATAATCTACTAAAAATGGATATTGTATTTCTCATATGTTCGCCTCATAAACACCGATGATCGAGCACTGGAAAACATAATATTACGCGCCGGCCCCTCCGGTGATCAACTCATAAATCAGAAAGATACATACATATAACGATTGCACATGTCAAAATCCAGACAAGAATTGGGTCAGACACAAATCATCTCATGGACCAGTACCTTCTCGGCACTGCTCGCAGATTCGCCTACTGAATACCAGCCTCATGTGCTTTCCCGCACGTCTCCCACTTGTACCATCTAGGGTATAGAGCATCCAGGGCAGTACGATGGTAGTGTGAGGCGTGCTCGCTACCGATACAGCGAGCAGTCATCTCAAAGATCAGTACCTTGTCGGCACTGCTCGCAGATTCGTCTTCTGAATACCAGCTCTGTGTGCTTTCCTACACGACTCCCACTTGTGCCACCTAGGGCATAGAGCATCTAGGGCAGTATACCATGGCAGGGTAGGGCGTGCTCGCTACCGATGCAGCGAGCAGTCACCTCAGAGACCAGTAGCTTGTTCGCACTGCTCGCAGATTCGCTTTCTCAACACCGGTGAACAGTGTTGGTGAACCTCGCCCATCATACACCGAGTTCAAGCTAAGGTATGTATGTATCTATCCTATGGTTTTTAAGCTTCTTCTTGCCCCTCATATCTCTATTTTCTGTCTCCGTCCCTGGGGGTGGGCAATGCAGTCAAGGGCGAGGGCGTAGAGCAGGATGGGTTGCCGGAGCTCGCGGTTGGATGCGGCGGACCTGATGCTCGCGCGGGGGACCGCCGTGCTGCGCTTGTGGTTGCGCGCCGCCTACTTCCGCGCGCTCCCGCGGGTGGCGGACACGCTCGCGCGGTTCGAGCACGAGCACCATGCCGCCTCGCCGCCCGGGTCGCTTGTGCTCACGCTGCCCCCCTTCGACCATGACGAGCCCAAGAAGCCCAGCGCCTCCAGCTCCACTCCGCACACCGACTCCCGCCACTTCCATCTCAACTTCCACCATGACGCCTCCGACTCTGATCCCGACTCCGCTGCCGACTGCGCTTGCGATTACCCCGGGCACGGACATAGCGTCCGCGGCGCGATCCCATCGCCGACTGGAGTACCCCAAAAGCGTCACATCCCAGAGCCTGGAGCGGCCAGGCCGGCCATGCCATGGCAGGGCAGGCCCGCCATGCCCTGGGATGGCTGAGGATCTGGCGAGACGAAGTCCTCAGGCTGCGCCGGCCGGCGAGCCCCTGCAACGCGTCGCTATTCCCCGGCTCGTCCCCCTCCTCCTGTTCTCCTCTCTCTCCCCTGCTTCTTCTTCCTCTGCTCCTCTCCACACAGGACGCCATGGCCGCCCTGGAAGGTCACCTCGCTCTACGGTTGATGAAACTAGGAATCGATTTCCTAAATGGAATCATGACATCAAGGTGCATCTTTTTTTATAGACCTTAGAGCATCTCCAGCCGTTCGGTCCTCAAGGCGTCGAAAAAGAGCCGTCTGGAGGCGAGCCGACGCTAGATTGACCCCTGGGGACGACCTAGCTCCCAGTCGTCGGCCCACAGGTCGCCCCGGGTTTAGCGACGCCCGTACAAAATATATGAAAACTCGGCGTTTTTTTGCACGAACTCGGCGAAACTTTATTAAAATTTATTAAAA